GGGAGAGACAAGGCCCAGGAGTGCCAAGGGATTGCATCTGGGCAGGTTGGATCAGGGATGCTAGATCTCACAGTCCCCAGATTGCCACTGCCTGTGGTTCTGCTTATTTGGCCGTCTGCTTTTCCTAGTGTCTTAAACTGAAGGTCCTTCCCTGGCGACCCCTCACCCCAGCCAGAGTGTGCTGGGGTTACAAGCACACTAGCCTTCCCCAGCTGGGCTGCTCCTCCAATTTTCTCAGCCTGATCTTGAAGATGTAATCCTTAAAATGGAGAACAAGCCATTGAATGGGGGTATAGGATGAAGGGTTTATGTCTGAGAAGCAGCCACAAAAAGGCCCCAGAATCCAGAGCACAAAGACACACCTGATCTCAATTCCTCTTTAGTTGCTCTGTGCAACCCAGGCTGCTGCGAATAGCTGGAAAGGAGGGATGGATACCTGTTCCTCCACGCAGGCACCTGGCTCTGGGGACTTAGTCTAGTAGCTACAAGGGCTGTGCTCCTGGGGCGATGTGGGTGCCCCGTGCCTTGTGGGAGAAGGGTAGAGAAATCTCATTCTCCTCACTATCCCTGGGTCCATGAGAGTTTCTTCATAGTTCACCCACTTGGGGGTTCAGCCCCTCTCTGGGACAAAGCAGCTTGGACCACTGTATTCCCAGAGCTCTCTGTTGCCTGCAGGGTGGAGGAAGTGAACTGGGCTTCGTGGGAGCAGACACTATCCACAGTGCGTGAGGAACCATCGGAAGGCAATGCCCCTGGTGAGTAGATGTGGGGCTGGAGCCCCTGCCCTGGGGCATGCGCACATGTGTGCATCTTCTGGGCCACACAGCCTTGGAGGGTCTGGGTTGGGACCCTGAGGCCTCCTCCATGGCTGCTCTGCAGCTGCATTCCAGGCCTGCTTCTGCCACAGGGCTTGCCCCCTGAAAATGGTACCTCTCCTCCTTTCTTCTCCACTTCAACTCACCTGCTGACCTGTTTTCAGGGAGTCACCTGGGGAGCTCTTAGAGATTCCTCCAGCCCAGCCTTCTCCCTGCCTCACTCCCATTTTCTCTTCTTGTTGGGGTTGTAATTTGCCCATCCAGTTGGTTATTAAGGATCTGCTCCCTGTCATGCTTGGGTACAGCCTGAGGGCCCAGCAGGGGCACAAGTTAGGAAGAGCACAGATGGCATCTCTCTGGGCTCTTGGGGCACTTTCTAGTATGGCAGGCCAGCTTTGGTGAGCTTTCCCCTACTACCTAAGCCTCCATCCCCTTTTACCCCAACCCCTTCACATCCTGGGAGAAGCCATTCCCTTTCCCTCACCTCATGTCTGAGGTCTTCATCCTCCCTGTTGGCATAGGATGGTTCCTCTGGTTCCCACCTGGCTGGCTCAACACCGAGACGGATTGTTTCCTTCCACCTCAGAGGCCTGTTCTGAGGATGAACTCTCTACAGCCTGTACTTTCTTTCTGGAACTTTCAAGAGCTCTCACCTTGTCTCTTCTGTTGGCTCATCTTCTCTCCTTTCTCCTTTTCTTTTCTGAAGAATGTCACCCGCTTGTGCCTGTGGCCCCAGCCCCCTCCCTCATCCCAAACAGCTTCCCTGAGTCTCTCATGAGCCTTGGAGGGAGGCTCTGCTGGTTTCCCAGCTCCTGGCCCTCACATGCCATTAGGTTTCCTCTCTACCCTCTCTTTGCACCGCCCTTCTTTTACTTCAATACTGAGACTTTGAGAGTCATCTTGGCCTTCATTTTGCCCCCAACATTCCACACCTGTCTGTTCTCAATGCAAACTTGACATTCTCAACAGGAATAGCCTTGGGACTACCTTATTGGGCACACTCTCCACACCCAGGTGGGAGGCCTTGAAGGACTCTGCCTATTCTCCCCTACATTCACCTGGAGTCCTTGATCTTTCAGGCAGCAACTCACCCCTGTGCCTCTGCCTCTCATTTACCCTGCTTCTGCATGGGTGGCCCATCCTACAACCTGACATTCAGACAAGTCTTTCTGCTTCAGGTTTATTGCATGCTTTTTCTACTAATGTAGACAAAACTCCCCATAGCCCATAATACACAATACCTCCCACTGTCTGGAGGCCACACTCCTCAATATTGAGGTCAAGGCCCAATCTAATCCATTCCCCACACCTCTGTCCACGGTGGCAGCCACTTGGGTCGCAGCACTCCTTGTTCTCTGGTTCACTTGGACATGTCTCTATTGGAAGTGTTCGTCTGCCCCTCTGGATGTCCAAACCCATCATCATCCCAACATAATGTGTCTCCTCTCTCCTCTGAGCTCTCTAAGCTCCTAAACCATTTCTGTCCTGCTTGTTAGCATGTCTCACATGTTCTGTTTTTTGAAACATGGCCTGTGACCTCAAGGGACTTTAAGCTTCTGGGGTGTGGGGGGGTGATCCCTGACTGGCATATGACAGGGGTTCAGGAAATGCTTATGAAAGTAAGGAGGCAGGGAGAGGGACTGTCCAGGGTGTGATGGGCTTTCCTGAAACGCTGAGATCCCTTCCCATTCCTGGCACCTGCCTCCTGAGGATATACCCAGTGGTGAAGCCACAGTGTTCCTTATTCTGTTTTACAGGTTCCATGAAGAACCCCATTCTGGCTTCCCAGCCTGGGGAGGATCGTGCCTCAAAGGAAGACCATCTTCCTCTTCAAGTGCTTCAGTCTCACTGATGGTCCATATGCAGGAGGCCAGCAGGATAGAGTGAAGAATCTTTCCAGCCACACATGCTTGCTCTGGGGATCTTTAATTTTCTTGGCAAATATAAATATATATATATATATATATTTTTCACAACCAACTCTACTGGAAACATTATTATTGAGCAACGTTGCTGGGGACCTTTGGTTTAGTAATATCTGCATGTCTCTTTCTGCCTCTGGGTATAGGGTTAGACTGATCCCACTTTTTCTTGGGAAAAAAAGTCTAGCCCAGAAACCCTTAGGTACTCCCTTCTGCCCTCAGTCCTGGGATTGTCCTCTTCTTTGGGGCAGGCTACTGGCTGAGGTTCTGTGCCTGCTGTCATGGCAACCACACACATCCCCCTTCCTCTACCAGACACCCATTAAATCCACTTCTAAGACGTCTGACAGTCTCCTTTGAGCTCTCTGGTTTAGTTCAGGCTCTGAATTACTGCTTTCTCACCCACTTGAACTTCGTACTCAATTTCATTCCTTAGATATTCCTAAGACCCAAGACAAACATGTCATCCCTGCACTTTGTAGGCCTGAGAGGTTCCCAGGGTATAGAGAGTGTTGTTACAAAAATCCTCAGCCTTCCACGACTCTGCCTATGTATTTCCAGACACATCTTCCCTTATATTCCTGCTACCTGCCGGAGAATGTGGTGAAAAATCAATTTTCACCGAATTTTTCATGCTGGTTGAGGGACCTTGTGTTTGACCCCTTGACTTGGCTGTTGCTAGAAGTCTCCCTCTCTCTGCCCCTCTCCATTAAAACCCTATACTTATTTCTGAGATTAGCTCAAAAGTGCTGTCTCATGATTGCCTCTGCAGTTCTTTCTGTTATGCTCGAATTCGGGACCCCCAAAAGACCACCAGAGACCCAAGATCGATGTAAACAGCAAAGAGGTGTTTATTGCGAGCTAGCTCGGTCCTCCGCATGCACACAGCAACTGGTGACGCTGAGAGGCCCCGAGCCCAGGGTTTGCAGCAGTTTTATACATTCTTTGGAGAAGGCAGGGACCCCCACGTACATCATAGCATCTCTTAGCAAATCATCACACATCGCGGGAAAATCAAATAACAACTCTAAAACATGATTAGCACATTCACTGGTGGAAACAAGTTGGGTAGGGGTGATTGGTTACTACAAGAGGGGGGTTTATTTGAACTGGTAAGCCAAGAAGGGTGTTTGTGCTGAACTACATGGTTTCCTAACACCATAAACTACTGGGAGGGTCATCTGGCATCCCAGATATTTCCATGTCTCATGCTGATTGGTGGCTGCTAGGGGGTTGCTATGGGTCCCCACCTAGCCTGGCTAGCAGATCTCTCCTGTTATTTGTAGATAAACAACTTAGCAGGGTGGGAATGTGCCTAGGAGTGCTCTGTGGGTCTTTCCAAGGACAAAGGTCATGTCCCTTCCTTGGACAAGGCTTTGCTCTGAGGTAGAGGCTGGTTTTTCATTTCCAGTCAAAATAAATATAGTTCTCCCTTGGTATAGTTTGTGTACAAAATGGGTGTACAGGGGAGTGATTTTTTTTTTTTTTTTTTTTTTTTAAGATCAACTCCCAGGTCTCATGCATGCTAGAGTGTTCTACTAGAGCTACATCCAGAGTCCTGGAACCAAATATTTTTTAAATAGGGGAAAAACGAACCCATTCATACACTGAAAGTAAAGTATCCGCAGAGGGAGAGTTTTCCATTGCCCACGTGATAGGATCTGGATGAAGGAATCATGAAGGGGCAGGAAGGAAACATCTTCATCGCAAAGGGCAGGCAGGATGGATCCAGATTCCTCTGCTTGCTCCCTAAAGGTCATCCTAAAAGAGGAGTGATGAGGGCTGTCAGTGCTTTGAGACGCTCCGACAGACCGGCCTGCTTATTAGATTGAAGAGCAGCTATTAATTCCGAACTTGCAGTATGCCCTGGCCCTGCCGTTTCAAGGGATGTGGTATTCAGAACTACATTGTGGAGCGATCGTGTCTTCATTTTCCACACGCACAGTTGTGACCTCACAAGAGATGAGTAATTTGCTCAAGACCACATGGCTAAAGAGGAGCCATACAAAACTTCAGCCCTGGGAACTAGGCTCGGGAATCCGCCCTTCAACCTCCAAGCAGGCGCAGCGCGCACGGCGTTACCCAGAATTCTCCGCTCCGCGGAAGAGACCACTCGCTCAATGTTCCGGGGGGAGTTCTGGGAGGTGTCTGTAGCGTTAAAAGGGCTGGAAGTGCGGTGAGTTTTTGCCAGATCACCCTTTCTTATGTGAGGAATGGGATATTCCGACATCTTAAGGTCCGTGGACTCTGCAGGATCGGCCTTTTCACTATGGACTTTGTGGAGGTAGGATGCTTTATTGTGTACTGTTGGGTGTTGGTGGCAAGGACGAAAAGAACTGGAACCTTTTTGTTTCCGGAAGCTTAGTGAAAGGGGCTGGTGTTGTAACGGCGTTTCTCCGTGGCGCCGATGTCCACGTGGGCTTTGTGGCTGACTCTGCGCCCGGGTGTCGGGACCCTCACCGGGCAGAATCAGGCCACCGTGGAGCGAGGGTTATAGACCGCGTGTTTTTCCTGCAGGGCTACCGCGGCAGGCGCCTCGGGTCCGCAGATTTAAGGACCCAGAACCCCGGCCCGCCATGAGGACTGCGCAAACACGACAAAGCTGGGTGAGTTGGGGTCAGCCTGCAGCTTGGAGTCCACGGCGTGTGGACGGATTTCAATGGGACCGTAAGGGAGATCGGCTTGGCTGTTCTGATGATACGAATAATAGGAAGTGCCGTCAGAAGCGATAACTGACGATGTTTATGCTCGTCTGACCGCAGTCGCAGAGATGCAGTGATTTAGCTGAATATTACCGCTAGAATCTGCCCTCAATTTCTGTCCTTTTCCCATGTGTTTCAGATGGCGGGCTTAATATAGAATATTGAAGGGAGCGGCCTGTCATAAGGTAAGCAATCCCTGGTCTGGGAAGTGATTAATATTTGACGAAATTGTAACTTAGTTGCCTTAAGCATTCAAGTTGGCATTTTAGTTTTGTACATTTAGCATTATGGAATATGTCATTGCATGAAGTGGAACTTCAGAAGCTGGAGAGGGATGCATTAAGCTGCATCTAGGAACTTGTGTTTTTTTCTTTTTTAACTCGGGGATGCTTTGTCATTGAGCTGTATCCCTGACCTTTTTAAATTTTGAGACGAGGTGTAAGTTGCCTAGGCTGGCCTTTGAACTTGGTGTTTCTGCCTCATCTTCCAGCATACTGAGATTACAGGTGTGGGCCACCGGGTCCTCTCTTTTTTTTTTAATGTAGTGCTGAGGATTGGACCCAGTGCCTCACACATGCTCTACCACTGAGCCATAACTCCAGCCCCTCCAGTGGGTTTTTAAGGCAATGTTTGTTTTGTTTTTGACAATATACAAGTCTTTGGAGCAATATTGGAGGGTAGTGAGGTATTGACTGCTCTGATGAAACCACTAATAATAGGAAGTGCCGTCAGAAGCGATAACTGACGATAACTATTCCTGGCTGACTGCAGTCAACAAATCTTTACCATTTGTTGGTGCCCAGGGTAAAGTTGGTCTGAACAGTGACAATTGCTATATTCACTCAGGTTGCATATTAGCAGAAGGAACACCAGCAGCTGAGTTTTGGAGCCTGGAACATTTGCCTTTTTGTGAGGTAAGCTTTGGCCTCTAGAGAGTATAGTGACCTTTATTGATGATATTCTGGAAATGCTGAGTGGCATGCATAGCCATAGAGGGGTTCTCAGATTACCTCTTGGTGATTTAATAATCTTGAACCAATTTACCTGTCCTGAGGTATAGTTTTCCTCATTTGTCAGAAGGAACCATAATCTTTAGTACGTGAAGTTTGAAATGTGACTGAGTTACAGCTCCCAGACAAGCTAATTAGGACTTCTGTAATTCAGTAATTTAAAAAAAAAAATCTCTTCTGTAAGGTCTTAAAGGGCTTTTTGTTAGGATGGACTTTAAGTTGTTGCTCAGGCTAAAAGAAATGCCTCTCCTGCTTCTGTGGTCTTTAGGTACTTAGTTTTATCCATTCTCAGGATTTTGGAATGGAGCCCTGAAGTGCAGATTATAGACCTGGTGGCAGCAACCTAAACTCTGGAGGTAAGCCTTGATCTACATAAAAATTACCTTATTAGAATGATAAAGTGGCTAGTTGTTTTAAGTAACTTAAAAGGATATCACATGATGAAATCACCCAAAATAGCTGGAATTACCGGCAGATTGGTAGTGGTGAACCTACGGTTTTCTGAAGATATCATTGCACTTGTGAATGACTGCTGTTAATTGGAGTAGAAAGTAAGATTGAAATTTAGTTTCTTTGCAGGCTGTATCTCCCAGAGGATGATCAGTTCCGGGGATCAGTAACCACCATTGATTTGGATTCTGAAAATCTAAACAGCTTCAACATTTGGAAACATGGTCACCTCGTGTGTCAGGCTGTTCACAAGAGATCATTCAGCAGGCCAGATTGGTTTCATTACCCCACCCAACAGGAATTTCTGTACCTTTTAATCATTTTATGTGTACACATTGTTTGCCCTTGTATTGGAAGGGTGAGATCTTTAAGCCAAAAATTGTTTCTCTTGAATATAATGTCTAATACCATAATAAACAATGGTCTTTGGTGATTCTTGAATATGCATATTTGAAAAACAAGTTCAGTTTTACTTCAGGTATTAGCACTCATATTGTAAACTTCTGGTCAGTCTAAGCTGTTTTCCTTTTAACAACTATAGACTTACAGGGAAAAATATCCAAAAGCGTTTAAGGCATTCATACTTGATTCCAGCCAATCCCTGCTGCCCATAGTCTATTTCCTTCCTGGGTGTGATCTTTTCTATTTGCCAGGGGTCACTTGTAGCTAATGCTGATCTTGTGAGGCTTTGCTTCCCTATACTTGCTTGCCTCAATATTGTGATTGAATCTAGTTTTGAGAATTCATTTGCTCCCAGTCTCTGGGCATGGGTCTAGGGGTTACTTGGGTTTAAAAGTAGAGTATGGGGCAGTGGACCAGGTGAGTTAGGCTCTTGGTTTCCAGTTTTCTCCTTAACAGCTATCTTGGTAACCTCCATAGGCTCACTGGTCCTGGGATTTTAGGGGGTTGAAGACAGACCTTCAAGTGGTAGGCAAGTGGTCTGCTATTGAGCAAACATCCTTTGCATACAAGTTTGAGCTGTCTTCAAATTTGTAATTCCTCAGCCTGTGAATAACAATGCTGGCTAAGGATCAAGATTTCTGTTGGGTTTTCCCATGCATGCCTGTGTGCATAGGCACTTGTCACCACAGGATGCTCTAAATATTTCAAGGTGTGGTGAGAGCTGGTTTTAGGAGCAGGTCCCTGGACCTGGAAGCTAAAATGTGGGAAGTCAGTTCCAAGCCTGAGACCCAGCAAGAAGAGCACCTTCCTTAAGTCCATGCTTAGCATAGTTAAGAACTAGGCTCCAACCTCATTAAGTTGGACTTAACATCTGGGTGGAATTTGCTTCCCCATGTAGGACAAGGGCAATACAGAACTGGGATGGCAGGGGCCTGTCTGCTGTTTGGAGAAAAGCTCTTGGTAACATTGGCTCAAGCTTCATCATCTCCAAACCTATGCTTTTCCAAAATCTGAGGAAGCCAAGTACTGAGTTGTGGGGTACCTGGAGCCCCTAGAGCTAGGGGTGAGCCAGAAGGCAGATGCTGGGATTTATAGGAGAGATGGAAAGGACCAAAGGGAAGTAGTGCACTAATCCCTCTTTCCCAAGTACTAGGGTCTGCTCTTCTGGGTGGGGGGGGAGGCTGCTGTATCCCCAGCCTCCTGATGGGAGGAGCCCCTAACTTGCCTCAGCCATCCTGCTCTATAGACTCCCTGGTGAGGCTTACCACTTACATGTCATGTCTGAGTCACAGCCTCTTTGCCCTCTAGGTGGTCTTTGGCAGGTGACACAGGGCCCCCTCCAGGGTCCTCCTGGCCCAATGTCCCTTCCCGAATCTCCTCCCCACTGCCTGGCCCCTCGCCCAGTTCCAGGATGGTGGGTAGGTGTCCCTGTTTGGGAGACCGCTTGCGCAGGCTGAGCAGGAAGGGCTGGGGCAAAGAGAAGATGTCCACATTGTTGCCCAGATCTATCCATGTGACATTGGGGAACTTGCTGGGGTCCTTCAGGGTGTCAGTAAGGTCACGGAGCAAAGCCCGGGTCAGCCGATTGCCATTGAGGGCTAGTGTGGTGAGGCGGGGCAGGGTGCTGAGTGCTGGCAGCAGTTGCAGGACCATGTCATCTGTGAGGCCCGTGAAGCCCAGCTCCACGCTGTCTACTTGCTCCCCACAGCGCTGCAGGTAGTTGGTCACTCGTTCCAGGTCACGGGAGGTCAGTGGGATGCCAGACAGGTCCACTGTATTGTCTGGAGGGTTCCCAGCCAGGACGGCCTTGAGGCTTAAAAGGAAGGGACAGCAAGTGAAGCGGACTTCCTTGAGAGGCAGAAACAGCCAACACCGTGGAGCCAGCCTCTGTTTAGCTAATTCTAGGGATCATTTTCACAAACTTGCAGATAAATTACAAACGCAGAACTAGGAGAAAATGGGGACATCCTGTGTTCCGGCACTGTTGCATATCTCTAGCAGGCTGGGTGGAGTGGTCTGAGGCTGCCATTTCTGCAGGACCACAAGGGAAAGTTTCAGGCTTCCATATGATATTCGTGTTTGCATCTTAGTCACCTTTAAGTTACTTAACCTTTTAGGCCTCAGTTACTTCAAAAATGGAGCTAAGAGATAGGGTTGTTAAGTGGAATAACAAATGCGAAGCATTTAATGGTGCTTTTGTAAGGGAGTGATGGATAAATGTTTGCTGCTGAAATTATTGGTCACTTGGGCTGAGCTTCTTTTCTCACCACTCTTGGTTGGTAGTTGAGCTGACCCAAGAATGGCACAAAGTTCCTCTGAGGTCCCATCTTCTCCACCAGTTGGGAGATCCTCTGGCAGAGGCCTGCAGGACCGTAGGCAGAGGAAGCACAGGGGCTCCAAATCTGGTGGCAGCTGCTGCCTCCTAGAGGCTCAGTGCTCTCTATTTCCACTCCTTGTCAGCTATTGCTTTTTGCCCTCTTTGTTGCCCTGCTCCTTGTTCTGGAGCCAGGGCCCAGGCTGCTCAGCCTGATGAGGAGTGTGCCCTTCCCACCATCCATCTTCCCAACCCTGGGAAGGAAAGGGAGGTGGAAGGGGCTCACAGCTTGCTCTGTGAGCATGTTAATACCAGCATCTCAGTGGTCACAGATTTCCTGGCAAAACCAGGTAATTTCCTATTCTTAGGGTCTCCTGAAGGTGGGAGATTGGTCATAGCTGGCTCATTTTGCTGCTTCTGATTAGGGGCTAGCCCAAGGAGCTTGGAGGTAAAGCTCTCAAGGCATGAGGCTTAACTGCCTGGAATAATGCCTGGCATTTGTTCATGACTTCTTTTATCAATGTTAGTAACAAAGGAGACACATCACACCAGGGAAACAAGGGTGGTGAACAGCTCTGCACTGGAGTCAAACCTGAGTTTGAATCTGGCCCSGCTAATTACCAGCTGTGAAATCCTGGCCAGTCAAATGGTAAYAGTGACAAGTCCTACCTCATTCATTCCTTTAACAGGTGTTTATTAAGCTCCTACTATGTGCCAGTATCGTTCTAGGTACTGGGATCACAATGGTGAACAAGATGGGCAAGATTCCTTCCCTTCTCTCTCCATCACACATCCCACCACACATCCAGGATCCCTTTCCAGCTCCTCACATACACCTGGAATGCCCTCCTGGCTGCTTTTCCTATCCTTAAATTCTTCTGGAACTCACCACCTTCGGGCTGCTTTCCTGGACACCCCACTGCCCTCAGCCCTTCTTCCCCTGCCCTGGAGAGTATCATAGCAGGATGGGCAGGAGCATGGCAGACTTGCTTAAGGGGACCACCACTCACCAGGCTTGTGGCTTCCTCTTCACCATCCCTCGGTGCCGCCTCCACTCAGAGTGGGGGCTGAGGTGATAGGTCAGCTGTCGGCATAGCTTCTCCATGGCACCTAGTGCGTCTCCTTCCTACAGAGGCAACCATAGGTGTGGGACCATTAGTGTCAATGAAATGGTCAGAGGTGCACAGGCTCTCACATCCCCAGGCTTCCTGTCTTCTTGGGACAAGCACAGCACTCCGAGGCTGAGCAGGGGAATATCTGCCAGGCTGGCCCTGGATGGGTGCCCCCTGCAGGGTGCAGTGGGTATGAGCTTGTCTGCACAGTGATTTAGTTTGTGTGCACTGATGGAAAACTTCAGATTTATATTTAAAAAAATCTGGATTCCAGGCATTCTGGCAATAACTAGCTGATGGTGAGTATCAGCTGATCCCTTTGACTGGGATTCACCACAGCCCCTGCCACTCCCCAACATCCAGGGCCACTCTGTTCACTCGCTTGCTCAACAAATACTTATTGAGCACTTAGTAGGTGGCAGGCTCTTATTCTAGGAAGCTGGGCTGCAGCCATGAGCAAATGTCCTGGTTCTTGTATATGACACAATAAAGAGAAAAGTGAAATATTTTTATCTGTCTCTCTTAAAAGTGGGAAAATAAAAGACTGAGAGGACCAAGTCTAGCTCAGCCAAATTCTTTCATCTATATTACTTGTCTGACCCATCAACATCTGAGTTTGAGACCCTGGGCATTCTGGGCTGAACTTTGTACCTCCAAAATTTCTATGTTGATATCCTAACCCCCAGTTCTGAAGAATGTGATTGTTTTTGACATAGGGCTTTTAGCAAGGTAATTATGGTAAAATGAGGTCATGGGTGGATCTTAATATGGCTGTTGTCCTTATAAGAAGTGATTAGGGGGCTGGGATTGTGGCTCAGCGGTAGAGCGCTTGCCTAGCACAGGCAGGACCCGGGTTTGATCCTCAGCACCACATAAAAATGAAGGCATTATGTGTGTCCATCTACACCTAAAAAATAAATATTAAAAAAAAGAGAAGTGATTAGGGGGCTGGGATTGTGGCTCAGTGGTAGGACACTTGCCTAGCATGTGTGAAGCACTGGGTTTGATCCTCAGCACCACATAAAAATAAATAAAGGGGGCTGGGATTGCGGCTCAGCAGTAGAGTGCTCGCCTAACACAGGTAGGACCCGGGTTCGGTCCTCAGCACCACATAAAAATAAAGGCATTGTGTTTGTCCATCTACACATAAAAAATAAATATTTTAATAAATAAATAAATACATAAAGGTTAAAAAAAATCTCCCTCTTTAAAAAAAAAAAAAAGCAATTAGGACCACTGGGCCCAGTGATGCATGCCTGTAATCACAGCAACTTGGRAGGCTGAGGTGGGAGGATCACAAGTTTGAGGCCAGACTCAGCAACTTAGCAAGACCCTGTCTCAAAGTAAATAGGGCTTGAGGATGTAGCTCAGTGGTAGAGTACCTCTGGGTTCAATCCCCAGTACCTACCCCCCAACGAAAAAATAATTAAGACCAGATACAGGGGACTGTCTGCTGTACTGACTTTCCTTGGGATGGAGCTGGAGTCTCGTATAGAGAAAAGACCATGTGAGGATTCAAGAAGGAGGCCTAGGAAGAGAAGCCTCAGAAGAAAGCAATCCTGCCAATCTTATACTTTTGACCTCTAGAACAGTGAGAAAAATAAATTTCTGTTGTTTAAGCCACCAGCTGTATTTTATTTATTTTTGTTATGTCAGCTGAGTTGACTATACTGGGTTAATTGCAGCATAAAGATTCCAACTCCATCCCACATGATTCCAATCAGCAGCCCCATGTGCCAGACTTGTGCCAGGTAGAGAGGGCAGGAGTCCTGCCTGCGGGGGTGATTGGCCAAGAATGGGCTTCTGCCAAAAGGTTCAGAGAGCCAGAAAGTGCTCAGGCTCATATGGACACCATTGGGGATGTGGCAAGGTTCAATGCATTAAGGCATGGCTAGCTTTTAAATTATGATTGCCATTGTCACTTTGCTAATAGAGAGGCAGCATATTAAGTAGTTAGGAATATGGACTTGGGGCTGGGCATGGTGGTATACACCTATAATCCTATCGGCTAGGGAGGTTGAGGCAGGAGGATCATGAGTTCAAAGCCAGCCTCAGCAACTCAGCGAGACCCTGACTCTAAATAAAATACAAAAAAGGGCCGGGGATGTGCAATCCTGGGATCAATCCCTAGCATCAAAAAAAAAAAAAAAAAAAGAAGTGGATCTGAGGCCAAATTATGTGGATTAGTCTTGGCTTTGTCTCTTCCTATGTGGTCAGGGGCGAATCATTGACCTCTCTGCTTCCAACACTCATCTATGAAGATGTAACAGTACTAAGCTCACAGGATTCTGGGAGGATTAAATGAGTTACTACTTGTACAGAGTCTTTATGCAGTTCTGAACATAGTAAGCTCTCTAGGATTGATTGCTAAATGAATAGGCAGCCTAAGTACAGATAAAAAATATTTGAAACAAAACTTGTGTCTGTTCTGAATATGTACACACTATTCTTGTTATTACTCTGTAAACAATATAGTATAACAATTACTTACATAGTATTTACCTGGTATTAGGTATTATAAGTAATCTAGAGATGATTAAAGCATACAGGAAGCTGTGTATAGGCTGCATACAAAAAAGGCCATGTAATATAAGGAACTTGAAGATCTGTGGATTCTGGTGTCTGCAGGGGGTCCTGGATCTAATCCCCTGTGGAATTGGGGCGGGGGGGGGGATGGATATGTTGATCTGTACCAGCATGAATACACTGAACCCCTATGGGTGAAGAAGGAAGGTTACTTCTGCCCAGGCTCAGATTTGAGCTGGGCTTTAAGAGCAGACTGAGTAGTGACTTAGGGTGAAGAAAGGAAACATGAGGCATCCTTGAATGAAGAGGAAACAGATTGTGTGTGTGTGATGGGGCATGGGGGCAGGTGAGAATTTGGGGCCTGAACACTTTGGGCTACCTCCGTGGCTACGGCTTTGGTCTAGACCTCCCTCATTCCCTCCCCTGGATTATCATGCACCAGGTGTTGTGCTAGAACTTTATGGAATCCCAACCCTCTAATAGAGAATATCTGTCATCATCATTGTTACACAGAGGAGAAAGGGAGAAAACCGAAGTCCATGAGGCCAGGCAGGGCTGATGGAGAAATAACAGAAGAGACCAGGAATTACAGGCCAGGGAGGGCCCAGAGTGGACGGCACTGTTTAGAGCCCACCTGTGGAGTCTCATTCTCCACAAGCCTCGCCCCTTCCCCCCATATATATTGGTACTGGGGATTGAACCCAAAGTGGGTTTATTTTGAGACAGCATCTTGTCAAGTTGCCGAGTCACTGGGATCACAGGCATGTGGCACTGCACTTGGTAGGTAGCACTGTCATGTTCTATTGCCTCAGGCTGGCAGATAAATAAACAGGAATTGCCTGGCACCATAGGCAGTCTCACTGACAACCTCTGGAGTTGACATCAGATTCCTAGACCCAGATTCTTACTTGGTCTAGTCACATGGAATGGACGGGAAGACACTGAGGGAGAAGCAGGGGGAACGCTGCTCACATGGGAGATGGAGAAGGCACAGAGAAGCAGGAGAGTGTGGAGCTGTGGGCATCACGGAGGAGGAGGATGGCCAGTCAGATGACCGCAGGGGCCACTAGATCTCCAATAATGAGGCCTTGGTCAGCACAGGCTTAGGGGTAAAACAATGGGAGGTGACAAAAGAGATGGGTGGGTAGCTAGGGCACAGGGAGCTCAAAGAGTTCCCCAGGTGATTCCCTTGTACAGCCAAAGTAGAGAAGCACCGGGTCAGATGCTTTAAAGCAGTGGGTGGGATCAAGTGGCCTGCCAAGCATTCCCAGGGCAGAACATTGCCAGTCTCCTGAAGCAGCTGGTCCAAAACTGAGCACTGAGCTCCTCATCTCTGGCTCCTCCTCCAACCACTTCCCAGGGTTCCAAAATTGGAGGGTGGGGTGGGGGAGCATAGACTTTCCCTCCACCCTCTAGGCCTGGGCAGCTGAGCCTTAAAGAAAGAGAACAAAGAGGTAAAAGAAGGGTGTCAATGCACCACTTATGCCACAAGGGGGTGGCTGTGTGCAGGTTGAGGCTCTGGACTGAGAGAGAAATTCAGGGAGCCTCAGCCTCATTGGCTAAACTGGGACAATAGATGAGGACACTGAATAGAGTGGTAGTTGAAACTAAATGTGAGCTAATGATCGCACAGAAATGACAGTTCGCTTCTGTTCATCTGAACTAAATAGACCATAGATAACTTTTTTTTTTTTTTTTTTTTTTTTTTGCGGTGTTAGGGATTTTGGGAACCCAGGACCTTTGGCATGCTAGGCAAGCACATTACCACTGAGCTACACCTTCAGCCCTATTAACATTTATAGAGCTATTATGATACATTAGGTCTCTCCTCTGTGCGCTGCATGAATAAACTCACTACAATCCTCTAACCAGGCTTAGAACAATCCTAACATACCTACTTTACAAATGAGGGAACTGAGGCCGTTCTGGAGCCTGGCTCATGACAATTCCTGAAGCAGGGAGAATAGAAAGGAGTAAGTCCCTGATCTTCCACTCTTTCTGCCCACCCCCCCTCCCCGATCTTACTCCAGGCAGAGAGTGGTGAAGGAGTAAGCAGAGAAACCAGCCCACAGTCTCTCTATCTGGAATGGTGTCCCGCAGAAGTGAGCAGGGTGGTCAATATGATGAATTTATGAATGAGTGAGGGAAGGACAATGATTTATGTCATACTGGGGGCCTTTACAAAGGTCCCTGAGGGAGGAAAAGTGGCAGATGGCATCACTTTCTGACAGCTAGGAGATGGAGCAGTGTTAGAGCACTGGGATCCTCCCTGAGGGGCCTCCAGGCCTGCCTCAAGCATCTTTCCAACAGGTCACTGAGAAGTCCCTTAAAGAGATCCTTCCCGACATCTCCAGACAGGTCACTGGATAGGTCTGGAGAACCTACACTGCCCTGAGACACCTTGATTGGGCCATGGCCCCTTCCTTCCTTCACCTTCCTCTCTGGGTAAGAGGAAGAGCTACAGAGAGTTGATCCTACAAACTGCCAT